CCCTTATTACTTACACATGAGTTCACGGTAGGCTGGAAATATCTTTCTTTATACTGCATTGGCAGAGTCTTGAATTTGAAACCTCTTTGCTTTAATACCATATAGAATTCATACTTCAACCAATTTATACCTACTAATAAAGTGAGAAACGTTTTTGCCCGTTCGTTGGAGGTGGGGTTAATGCAAAGAGCTCAAAGCATAAAGCATCGACATAATCAACGTGTTTTCGCCACACACAAAAGCCCTGGAAGATCAAGAGGAGAAGGATGAGAGGGGAGTAAGGGCCACGAAGTCGCACGGTGGCTCACTTGGCGAGCCTACTACCACGCTGCTATTGTCGTTCGGGAAAGAGAGTCTTTTTTCTTTTCCGTTTCTTAAAGTATTTTTTCTTTTTTGTTGGGTCCCACGTGTAAGTGACATGTTGTGTTCCCCTTTTTCCTGGTTGGGTCCGCATAGGGATGCAAGCCGACCGCGTCAACGGGAAATGTACTAATCCCGACTGCTTTTAAATTTTCGTGTGTGCTTTAATTTTGCTCTTGCGGACAGATGCGAACGCGTAGGCATCTTCACATGTAAGAGAAAGGGCATCTCATCTTAGTCGGCGGGCCTACTTGTAAGAAGGGGCAAGACCATCCTTCAAATTTTTCTCAAGAGAATTTCTTATTTGGCCCTTTCTTAAAATTTGGTTCCCTATTTAGTCCAAAATAAATTTTCTTCTCTATTTGACATCTAAAGTAATTTTTGTTTCTTATATAACACTTCCGTCCATTTTTAGACACTAACGGTGTTAAGTGTGAAATGAAAAGACCGTTTTGCCCCTAGTGATTTGTGTATCTATCGTGGATGTAGTAAAAAGGCAATCGGTTCATTTTAGGGATGTTCAACAAATACAACACATGCATATGTATGCTCCAAGATTTTTTTGAGAAAATCCAAGATTTTGGTTAGTTCATCATGTGCGAGTGTGGCTGCAGAGTGGATATGGCCCACGGCGCTGAGGCGGGCTCGGCCTTGAGCGTTCACACGGACATGGCGCTGCTGGCTCGTCTACCCATACCGTAGTGGTGCCATGAGTCGCAAACGGCGCCGACATTGCCTCCGGCTCGCGGCAGTCGCGATTAAAGATGTGCCCGCTGTAGTCCGACATAGCACAGGGATGCCCGAGCTCACGAGCGTGGCCCTGGATGGAGCAATGGAGTGAACGTCGGCGTCATCATCTGCAGGTACATAACTTTCGTTCCATCGAGACGAGCTAGCCGATTCCGCCGGAGTTGAGGTGCACGTGCACACCAAGCAGATAGGCAACTAGGTGAATTGATCCCACATGAGCGTGTTTGATTTCCTGTGTCGCACTTGGCTAGCACCCGCCATGCAAAATCCACGTTGTTTGGTGTCCTATGTGGCCTACTCAGCCTGGCCCGGCGATGCAAAAGTTGGCCTCTCAGCAAGGCTGAGGGGAACGCAGGAATCAGTCTGAGCTGGAAACCACGATCAGCGTGTACATAGGTAACTTTGGAACGTGATGAACTAATCAAAATATGGTATTGTATTGATCATAGATATGCTATAAGTACAAGTTCTACGGATATTTTGTATGAGTTTTACATGCACATAACAGATACCTAAGGAACAAAATATTGTACGATACATATACATGCGCAACATCCGTTCAACATACATAAAACATGAGTGGACTGTTTGCGTTTTTATTATATCCAAGATAATCACACAATGCACTAAGGGCAACATGGTCTTTTCACCTCACACATAATAACGTTAGTGTTTAAAATGGACGGAAGTATTGTATAAGGAACAAAAATTATTTTAGCTGTCAAATAGGAAAGAAAAGATTATTTTGGGCCAAATAGAGAATCAAACTTTAAGAAAGGACCAAATAAGGAATTCTGTCATTTTTCTCTCACGGCATTCACAGAATGTCATCACGAGGAAGAGAAAAAACATAAAAGCTCTTGTTTGGGGGCAAAATAGACAAGTGTGACACAATCAGGGGCTGAAATGTAATTGTCCCTTGTCTTTGTTATTCAGACATGGACCCGGGCTGGGTATGACCCAGGAGAGGACAGGCCGGCCCAAGCAGCCCATCGGCAGAGGCCCCCGTACTACACGAGTGAATGACTGCCGCAGCACGTAAGGCAGCATGCAGAGGTCAGCAGAGGGAGGGCTTATCATCGTCGTCTGCACTCTCGCTGACTGCGTGGGCCCGCCGTGTCTCCGACGTGACGTCAGTTCAAAAGTGAGGTCCAGCGGGGCGCGAGGCGGAGCGGGAAGAAAGTGGCGCGGGGCCGGGAAAAAGGCATTCACAAAGAACCAAAGACGTTCACAAATGAAGGCAGAGCGAACAAGCAAAGAAAAGAACGAGACATAGCCACAGCTGCAACCTAGAACTCTCGCCCCCTCACCTCGAGTTGAACAGGAGGGTCGCCCCAGACACAATGAATATTAGGCGCAGCGCATCATGTACGGACTACGCCCTCGAAGAAATAATTGCATGTGTGTTCCTGCATGTGGCGGCGTCTTTTGAGAGCGGCGAGGGACTGTTCATCTGCCGCTGTACAGCAAGGAGAATTTTTCAATTTTCAAACCGTCCCATGCATGTTGTACTAGCGTGGTACTAGTACTAGATTTCCTTCTGACCGACTGTCGGCCAAAAATCTCCAACGCAGATTCACCAGCTTGGATCGCTATAATCCTCGGATCCTCTTTTTTTTTTCTCTGAGATCACTTGGATCCTGAGTATATTAGCCTACTAAGTACAGTTTATGCTGTAGCTTCACCAGCTTGCGTTTGGTGTAGCTCTACACTTCTACTATGAGTACACCTACGTGTATAAGTATATATGTATCCATGTGAGCTGCAAGAAAGTATCCCTCGAGCAACCGAGTGTTTTGTTCAGCGCATTTAGGAGAATCATATACTCCCTCCGTTTTTATTTAGTTCGCATATTAACTTTGGTCAAAGTCAAGCTTTACAAACTTTGACCAAGTTTATATACAAAAATATTAAGATATACAATAACAAATCAACAACATTAGATTTATTATTAAATGTACTTTCACATCGTATAGATTTATTATGATAAATGTCTATATTGTTTTCTGTAAACTTGGTCAAACTTTACGAAGTTTGACTTCAGTCAACTCTAATATGCAGAGTAAATAAAAACGGAGGGAGTACTTTACATCTATTCAGAAAGAACAAATGGAACAGCTAGCTGGTATGTCGGTTCTACATTTGATATTATGCATTATTGTGGCCTTCCAGCCTTCGTTCATAAAACAAATATAACCACATCTTGGGGATCGCGTGTGCCCTACAAATCCTTTGCAGAGTATATAGAACTCATGTTGGTAGTACAATAAAATACTTACGTAGCAATTTGTTAAATAGTGTGATTGTGCAAGGGCCGGCAAATCTAGGTTATATACAGTAGTAGTCATCCATGGAATCAGAACACACACTTGTTTAAAACTGCAATATTACTGCATGCTAAGTCAATATTTCAATATCACTTTTGTGAAATTATGTACTCCATTACTACTATAACTGTGAGTATATATGTGCATTTTGGAAATCAACAAATGTACATGTTTTTTGAGAAATTTTTGTAAGCCCATATATTTTAACAGACGTAAGAACATTTCTTTCAAGAAAAAAAAATTAGGATCATATATACTCCCTCTGTCCAAATATATAAGTCCATCCTCTCCAAATTTCGAGCCTAACCTTGATCATGAACCTAACTAACAAAATCAAATATGAATTAATGGCACAAAATTTATACCGTTGGATTTGTATTCAGAAGAGAGTTTGCAATGGTATAGCTTTGATGGCATATAGTTCATTGTTAGTCAAGCTTATATAGTACTCCCTCTGTCCCATAATATAAGACGTGTTTTGACACTATGACAGTGTCAAAACACGCCTTATATTATGAGACGGAGGGAGTAGAAGTTAGGCCTAAAATCGACGAGGGCCTACATATTTGGAGGGACAGGCTTATTTTTTTTCCGAAAAGGAGGACAACCGAGTAATACACACATCTTACATAAATTAACACTCACAAAAAAAAAATCTTCATTTCACCAATTTATTTGATGCATCTGAAAAAGTCATGTAGAACTGGTCCTAACTCAGTATGCATTTATGTAATTAAGCTCTACACAAAATATCCCTATGTGTACATCTATCACTGGACAAATTTTCCAGGCTTGCATGCAAGCTCCATAATACCACTACTGAACAATGGACCCTCTGTGAGTAAGTATAATAGATATTCCAGGTGTAAGCACATAAATTAGAAGAAAACAAGAACGTATCGTACCGGCAACCACATGTGAGAAAAGAAAGGCGATGAGATCACCAGAAAACAAAAACAGAAGGAAACCGAAAGGAAAAGACGAGAGGGACGGCATTGCACTTGAAAAAGAAGTAAGATGACAACAGAAGAAAGTATATGGATTCGAGAAAGCTTATGTTATACTGATTTATACGTATCGAAACCGACATGTGATGTGCTACTTTTCGTGTATGTGCATACCTCCCTCTGTTCATACATTTCACAGACCACATGAATTTTTTTAAATCACACAAGTATTGTTAAGAGCACTGCTCATTGTCTCCGAAGTCAAAGAAAAAATTCTTAATTTTCTTCCTTGTGCAAGGACATCTCAGCTAATGCTGTACGAAACTGTATATATAACTGAGGCCTCATCAGCCACTGTTCAGAAACATGTACGTCCCTTTCTGAAGAGTGTCCGTTGAGACTGAAAGCGTGATGAATGGGACCAAGAAATGGAGAGAAAATATGGAGTATAATAATGACCACGATTAGGGAAGGCACTAAGACAAATTTGTTGGGTTGCTAATCAGCAGGACCTATAGGGCTAGGCATTCATATCAATGTGTCCCTATTGCACCCAAATCAACAAACAGTGGAGCGTGATTGAGCAGAACAAACTAAGCAAAGAAAGTTATCTCTTTCACCTATTTGGAAGATTAATTATTTCTTATCAAGTTTTCATGCACGGATTTTCTTTGATGATATGATGTACCCCGTCATATCATGATCCTATGCGAACTACTTAGACCTCTCTCTTATATATATATATCCAACAAATCATAACAGCACAGTAATTATAATAACAAACAACTAAAATTATCATGGTGCAGGGATTAGAATTTGGATGTGATGGAATAATCAAAAGGGTAATTTGATGGTCTACACTTATCACGCTGATCCTTCTGCCGCTTCCTCCTCCTTCCCTCTCGTTGTCGTCGTCGTCGTGGCTGCCGCCGCTGCGGTGGTACTAGTAGCGCCGGCGCTACTACTTCTAGTCGGAGGAGACGCTGGCGTTGCGCGTTGTTGCTCAGCGGACTGTGACGGTTCGTCCTCGTCGTCCTCGCCGCCTCCGGAGGTCGCTGCCGCCTCCGCGGCGGTGACGACGGGAGGCGGCGCCGCGGGGGCGGACGTGCTGCCGCGCTTGCGCTTCTTCTTCTCGTAAGGGATCCCGCGCGCCTTGGCCTGCGCCTCGCGCACCTCGCGCAGGTAGATGCGCACGGCGCGCGCGGCGAAGGGGTTGGACTCAGGGCGGCCGCCGGACTCCTCGTAGGCGGCGCGAAGGCGGCCAATGAGCGCGTCGAGGCTGCCCCATGCCTGTCGGAGCGGGCACGCGCACGGGGCCGGCGGGTTCGGCTGGCCGAAGTAGGCGCAGCCGTCGGCGTGCACCTTGGTCTTGCCGAACTGGTCCAGGTACTTGAGGAACTCGATGACGTGCGCGCCGCTGCACCGCGCCAGCGTCAGCGGCGGCTTGTGGTTGCGCAGGTACTGCAGGAAGGTGTTCCAGTCGCGACGCTTCTGCGACTCGTACCGGCTCAGCCCCGCCGGCACCGGGGGCTGCTGCGACAGCGGCTGCGGCTGCAGGTGCTCCTGCAGTGCGACTTGCTGGCCTCCTCCTTCCGGCGGCTGCGCATGTGGCTGTGGCTCTTCAGCCTTCTCCACGGCCACCGAGGATGAGGACGGTCCAGACTCCTCCGGCGCGCTCGCTCCCTCGCCGCGAGGCGCGTCGTCGGGGCCCGGCTCCATGGTCGATCGGCAGCGGCGCGCCTGCTTCTCTCCCACCCTTGGCTACCAGTGGTCTCTCTCCCTCTCTCTCCCCTCCTACGTCGTTTATTGTTTTTGTCGGCAGGAGCGTGGAGGAGAGAGAGAGAGGCTACCTGGCCAGGCAGCTAGAGAGAGAGAGAAGGGAATGGAATGGGTTCAGAGGGGAGGTAGAAGAAGACTTGTTGGCTGCAGTGTTGGTGTTGGTGTGTGGAATCCTTTGCGGCTTTTGTCTTTGGTTGCGTTAATAGCGTCTCCACTACACACTGTCGAGGGTCGATCGAGGCGAGCTATTATCATTTCTTTATATAATCATGGTTCTTAGTGTTCGGCATAAGTACCCGTCCTTGTTGTTCCTTTCTCTTTGCAAAAAATATTTCTTTTTCCACGGCCCCCGGCTTTTTATTCGTATCTTCGGAAACAAGTATCCGATCGACCATGCAGCCTAGCTGCAGTTATGTTTGTTTCTGCATGCATACCCCTGAACCCTCTGGATACTGATGATGCTTTTCTTGGGGTTGAAATCAGAGGGTTCACCCTCTAGTCTCTTCTTTTCTTTTTTGAAAAAAGATCGTGTCCTTGTTGTTCTTGCGACCGTGCTCAATGGCTTTCCTGCTACTGGTTTTCGTGATGCTTCCGCTTCCAGGTAGAGTAGACTACTCTTTTGTTGCCTATGTATGCTTTTGTTTCATTTCGTTGCTGCTTTTGTTCTTTTTGGCATTTACATTTTTGGATTTATTGTTGAAGCTGAGAAAAGTGATCTAGCAGGGTACGATGAGGTGTCGTGTATGACCACCCGCTAGCTTATAGATATACGGCGCGATATTTGATATATCAGAGGTTCAAAATAGCATAGGTGTGCATCCTTTGTCTTGTGATGACATTTTTTTCCCATGAGTAATGCTAGACTCACGGACGGATTTTTCGGATTCTATGGTTTGTAGCTACGTGGCAGTTGTTGATTGGAGATTAGAGAGGAGAAAAGGCCCACCCCGTGAAATTCAGGGGAGGAGATAACTGATAGTAGTAATCTGGTAATCAAGTTACTATAACCTGGTAACTAAGTGGCTATAACCTGCCTCTCGTATCTAGTGATTATAATCTAGCAACTATTGGGTGAATGGTTTTGGCAATTTTAAGCTTTTCCGGTGGTGGTCTATAAACACCCATGCAAGTCTACAAAAGTAAAGCAACGGAAGAAAATAACTTGCATAAGTAAAGGGTGAAGTTAGGAGAACACAAACACGGAGAGACTCGACGAAGATTTTTTTCGTGGTTCGGATCGTTGGCGCTATCGTACTCCATATTGATGGAGGTTTCGAACCATGGAGATTCTAGGATCACGGAGATCCCGGTTGCGAGATCCACAAAGGACTATACCCGTGAAGGCTCCACGAATGAGCAACAAACCTATGCCATCATGGCTTACGACCACAAAGGTGTAGCCTCATTCGGGATAGATCATGATGAAGCACGCAATCTTAGGGCTTGTCGGTGTCAAAATCGGCAGATCTCGGGTAGGGATCCCGAGCTGTTAGATCGGATCGATGGGTAACAAGAGAGAACACACACAAAGTTTATCTAGGTTCGGGCCTTCTCTATGGAGGTAAATCCCTACGTCTTGCTCTTACTTATATTATGGAAGTATCAAACTACAGAGTTGATCTACCTCGAGATCGTGAGTTGTGGTCTAAACCCTAGGGGTATGATGAATGGGTGTATGGATGGCCCTACGACTAAACCCTCTGCTTTATATAGGTACCAGGGGTATCTAGGGTTACACATGGTTTGTTGCCATCTAAGAATCTGCATGCCGAATATAATCAGATATGCTTGAAGTACACGCCAAGTCTTCGGTTGCTGCATATTGAAAGCCTCCGGAGTCCTCCCTCCTTAACAGGCTCGTGGTTCGGTCCATACATTAGTCCAACTGGGCTAGGACCCCCTAGTCCAGGACACCGTCAGTGGCCCCCGAGTTTGTCTTCAAAGCCAAGGTTGACAACCTTTCTCGGATAATGTCTTCGGCCAGACGATCTTCGTCTTAGCAGGCATGTTCCATGTCCTCGGATAGGTATCACACGAAACTCGCGAGCCCTTTAATTGGTTATTACTTCCCCTCTTGATGGCGACCCAGGAAAATCCAGCCATGTGCTACCCAAGACGCACTTTTATTCATACGAAGTGTAAAGCTTGTTTAGTCTCAAAGACTAGCAATGTAGATGAGCTTGCGAGCCAGTTATTGACAGCCTTTACTGAAGCGTCGCCACTCCTAACATTGCACACATCAGCCATTACTTATTGGAATCGCGGTTCGAGGCAAACCTCTTATTGGCACGTCGCATCAAAATGGAGATCGTGCCCCGCATTTTAGGGGATATAATCAATCAATTGTTTCTCCCCAAGCGGCCATAACGTCGCGATAGGCCAAAACATGGTGATTTTTACGGCGAAACAGAGGGACACTTCAGCTTTTATTGGCTTATAAAGAGCAAGAGGGGGAGAATCCACACTCCCACGCTTTCCTCCTGCTCCAGCACTCAAACCCTCCAAGCCTTCGCATTCCCTATTTGTAACATTTCAAATTTTCAATTTGGAATGTTATACATTAGAGCATTATTGCATATCATATTTTATTGCATTTTTGGCTTGATCCTAGAAATTCTACGCAACTCAAGGACCTACGGAGAGAGTTGGGGATTTCATTATTTTCATATTCGAGTTTTCTCGAATTTTGGAAAGAGGATCGTTTGATTTTAACTATTTTCTCTTCGATTATTTCTTTTATAAAAATAAAAGAGAGAGGATAAAATGACTTCCTCAAAATAGAGAAATATCGAAGATTTAATATTAAAATGAAATAAGATTTTTATTCGGAGTTTTATCGCTATTTTATTTGAATTAGAAAAAAAATATGCGTTTTTCAAAATTATATTTTAGGCCCAAATAAATGTTCACCTTGTCTGTCTTATTTTTAGAGGACGGGGAAAATTTATTTCGGGATTTTTGGAGTCCATTTAGTATTTCTTTTCTTTCTTTTTTCTGCACGTCAAAATTTTTTTTTAAAAAAGAAAAAAAGGTGAACCAACTCCGGGCCGTACCCGAGCGGGACTCCGCCCGACGGGCCTTTATGAGCCGCCGCCCCCGAGCCGCCGAAAGCCCACAGTCACCGCCGAAAGCCCACCCGCGCCCTAACCCTAACCCTAGCCGGCGCGCCGCGCAGCCGCCGCCACGCGCCGTCGCCGGAGCCGCACCGCCACCGCACCGCCTTCCCGGACCCCGCCGGACCCGAGGTAGCCACCTCAGTTTTTGTGAGAAAACCATTTGGTTTTTTCCGAAACCCTAGATCCGTTTTTTTAGATCCGGTTCGGTTTATTTTTTCGGTTTAGTTATTTAACAAACACCCGTTTTTACGTTTGTTTTAACGAAAGGTTTTCACCGTTTAGCCGCAGACAGCGAACGTTCATCCTTTAGCCTGTTCATCAGTTTTTCTTTTTCTTGGATTTTCCACGATTATTTCGATCGTGATTTCTGATCCGATTTTCGTTTTAGTATAACTTTTCGCTCGTTTAACGGAATCAGGCGATTCAAGCGCCTAGAGTTTCTTCTCGAAACCCTATTTCTGTTTAACCAACTTGAACAAGGTTTTGATACAGTAAAATTTGACTTTAGTCTAGATTAGTAATCGGATCTTGTTTCTTTCGCAGTTTGAGTTTTGTTGCTCCGTTTGATTTGATTCTTTTTGCAAACCGGAGTTCTTAAGTTGAACTTTCTGGTTAGATCTCTTATTTGAGTTTTACCCGTGCCCTTGTTTGATTGCTTATCGTATGCTTGTTTGATTGCGATAGAGTACCCGGAGTGCGAAGCGTGCTACATCGAGTCTCTAGGTTTTGCGAATCATCAGCATGGCAAGTAACACTTTGATCATATCCCTTTATCACCCAGCTTTTATGCATTAGTTTCAACCCTCAAACATTGCATGGTTAGGACTTGATAACATGTGGGATTGGGAAGTAGATGACGTAGTACCTATTCACTTGTTTATTATCAAACCCTTGGGAGTTACTTCTACGTATTGCTTATATTGCCATACTATGCTCGTAGACGTGGTTTGGGTGAGTGAAACCATGACATATGTGAGATTGTTAATTAATGGTTCAATTAAAGGTGGCAACTTTAATACACATCTGGGTGGATTGCTTGTCGGGCACTTGTAGAATCCAGTGTTGTCCTAGGATATCCCGGAGTACCCGTGTGATAATCCTAAGGTCCACCACCCAGGCTTAAAGGGAACTGAGATATTTCATGCTAGAAACTTCTATGTGCAGCCACAAGCTATTATGGCTCTAGCATAGCTGAGTAAGTTGCGTGAAGCTCTTGAAGAGGTAGACTAGAAGATGTAGTGGGTTGTAGGTGGTATAGTCTATCCGGAGTAGAGAGTTAATGCTTCTGAAAGACTGTGTCTCGGTCATCCATTTCTCAAACACCATGTAGTGCGAGAAATCCAACGAAGGAGATCGAGTCTTATGGGGAAAAGTGCGCAAACCTCTCCAGAGTGTACAAACTAATCATGGTTAGCCGTGTCCCCGATTATGGACATCTTGAGTATCTAGTACTTGGATTATCATATGTATCTCATCACTCTAAATTAATATTGTTGGGTTGATAATTACTTTTAATTGGGATTGAGTTGGAGGAACCTTCTCAATGATGTTTCAACTACCATGACAGTTAAATAAAATCTATTCCTTTGTTGTAGGAAAAAATTGGCTTTTCGCAAAACTTTAACCGTAGAGCTTTCCACCAGCCAAATATGCATATAATGATAGCATTATTCTGTTCTTGCTCTACCGTGTTATATTGCCAGCATATTCCATGTGCTGACCCATTTTCGGGCTGCAGCGTATTATGTTGCAGACTTTTCAGACGAGGAGTAAGGTTCGTTCAACTCAGCTATGCCGTTGGAGTTGATGGACTCACTTTATCTT